GAGTACAAATACTGGCTGCCTTTTCACTGAGAAGCGACACTCAGGCTTTTACGTAGGCCACTGTACTTTGATGCTGCCCAGCTGCACCTGCTTTTGTAAAAGCCCAAAATGTAGGTAGCTCTTGTTCAAAGCACTTGTTGAGAAATGGAAACTCTCCCTTCAACAAAAAGGAGAGAAGCAACACAATAAAAATGTAAAAGGCAAGAGCAAAGGGAAACAAATTTCTATTCACAATGCCCAAGTTTGATCTCGAAATGTTAAAAAGAAATTCAATATGGCAAGCAAGTTCCTGGAAGTTCCTCACACAGGATAAAAATGTATTGACGACAAAATTGCAGCCTTGTCATCTCCTGAGCATTCTCTCTAGGAACACTTTGTTCCATGTTGTCTGTATATTATTATTTGATTTGATATTAAAATGCAAGGGAATAGAACTGTTTCAGGCTGTTAACAAGAAAGATATGCGATGATTAATATTTCTAGGGATTGCCTCCTCCTTCCCTGGGAAATTGTATTTTCTTCCCCATGTTTTGCCTATATAGTTGTTTAAAATGTTCCCATTAAAGCATAGCATGCGCTAGGAACAGATTCATTGAAAAGCAGGGCAGCCTTTGGATCATAGGTACCTTGTTTCCCTCATGATTTTTTTCTTTTTCTAACAAAATACCTAAAAACTTTGTCCACATCCTATTGGACAGCTGCCTATCCTAGTGTTGCTGGTTTTTAAATGTTATTTCCTTGAAAGCAGATTGTGGTAGCCTATCTAATGGGTATCATACTCTTGGTCTTTGTGAAATCTTGTCTCCTAAAGTTGCAACTTAAATCAAGTAATATATATGGGACTACATGTGTCCTCTTTAGACATTTCTGTTGATATTATGGTTAATTTTTGCATTCTTTACTATCTCGAACAATACCTGTTGGAAAGGTGGAATATAAACACTTGCAGTGAATAAATATAGGTATGCAGTATTTGCCTTTGCGAGTCACAGAATGTCTATTAACTAAACCTGCTAAAAGTGATTGGTGCTTGATTACATGTCTTGCCACCTTCTTACTCATCCTCACACCAAAACAGTTGACTTCACAGGCTTTTCAGCTTCTAAGTTTAGCCCTAGCAGAGGGAAGAAGAAAATTAGCTTCTCAAACTTGTATCCTCTTAATACATTACTCAATCATAGGGCTCTCCCACACAGCCCTATATCCCAGGATATCAAGGCAGAAAATCCCACATTATCTGGCTGTGGATGAAGATTACCCAGTTCAAAGCTGATATTGTGGATTTTCTACCTTGATATCCTGGGATATAGGACTGTGTGGAAGAGCCCTAGGTTATCTGAGTCCACACTCAGATAATGTGGGATTTCCTGCCTTGATATCCTGGGATATAGGGCTATGTGGAAGGGCCCATAGTTGATGAAACTGAAGTCTCCAGGTTTACAGGTGAAGTGTGTTGTTTGGGGCTGTAAAGTCAAATATTAGACCTAGAGTTCTTAAATCAATCCGTACATATCCTTAGATCTAGGATTTCCCCTCCTTCAATTTTCTTGAAAATTATGTTATTTACTTATCTACTTGGTTTATATACCACTTTTCTCACCCCCGGGGGGACTCAAAGCAGTTTCCAACATATTCACGGCAAAATGCAGTGCCTTACAAAACATGAAAACCTAACATAAAACAATAGTAACATAAAACTCTCAATTAAATCATAAAAACAATTTAGGTGATGGCGTTTCATCACATTTACCAAGGGTTCTTAAGACCTAAAAATTGTTAAGAAGCACTGTAGTAGATCTAAGTTGCATTGTGTCTTGAAGCCAAAAACTGTTGGAGCCATGCCTTTCCATTGAACTCAGTTCCCCTGTTCATGACTAAACACAACTTTGTCTTTCAAACTTCTTAATCTGCCTTTGCACTGTGGTCATAATGACAGCACTGTGCAACATTACTGGGAGATTGTGTGTGTATTAGGGTGTGCACGGAGCAACTAAAACTTGATATTATAAATACTGTATCTGCCACCTCTGTCCCTCCTTTCCGCCAAAGATACAGTTGCTGTGGTGGTTAAATTGGCCCCAATACATTAATTCTGTCTCCTCCCAGTGAAACTTCTGACATTGCAGAGAATAAAATAGTCATACCTGGATTCTTACTTGTTCTTCCTTGGATAATTTCCCCCCTCTTTCATTTGCATTTCTAATCTGTATTTCTAAACGCTCAGCTGAAATGTTAAGTTAATGGAAAGGTATATCACAGAGTGAGAGCTATACCCTGTTTTCCTCCTACTTGTATCACTTGGGCCTAAACACAATTTTCAATGGTAGATAATATAGTAGAACCGTTTTGCATTTGCTTGTATCAAAGGTGTTCTCTGTATGAGTGAATATAAAGCTGGTCTCACATAATCTGGCTCTGTCATAGACAATTGGAAATCAATATATCCTTCTCTGCCTCCCCTCACGTACTTTTACAAAAATCCTTGAGGACTCCTCAAGTTTCTAGTAACTACAAAATTAGATTTATAACACACACATACATACACACCTTCTTTGTCTATGCATCACATAGCTATCATGCTTTAAAATGTAACAAGGAGAAATTGTCCAGGAATACAAAGTGCCTGTTTCAGAAAACTAATTGAATTGTACATATTTATTTGAGATATTAGCTGTCTGTTGAAGTTTGAAATGTTTGTAATCAAGATAAAACTTTTGTATTGTTTTGATCACAACAAGAGTCTTCTGGGTATAATTAAGATTAATTTCTAGAATGATTCCTGATCTTCTTAAAACTAATTGCTTCTCCAATTTCAGTAAAAGTCCGTTTTAAGCACTGGCCATGCTGTCTGGGGGAAGTCTATGATTGTCATTTAGAAAAGAAAGTAACTTCCTAGGTTCTGAGTAAGACTGAACAAGAACATGTCTAGGAGATTTACATATTGGATAGTCTATGTAAAAGTACATGTCCTATTACTTGCTGATGCATTAGCAAAAATATACTTGCGGAAAAACAATATTTGATCTATGTCAGTGGTTCTCAACCTGTGGGTCCCCAGATGTTTTGGCCTTCAACTCCCAGAAATGCTAACAGCTGATAAACTGGCTGGGATTTCTGTGAGTTGTAGGCCAAAACATCTGGGGACCCACAGACCGAGAACCACTTCTATAGATTCACTAGGCAATTTCAGTGCTGTGGACAACATGTTGAAGCATAGTTCTTGGCTTATTGATCTATAATTAATCTTATTGATCTGTAACCACTGGTCTATGTGATAGAGTTGAGTCACAGAAAGGATGAGATTATTCTGTCATAGGATGAACAGAATGAACATATGTCTGAACATGGTGTTGTTCTCTGCCATTATGAACAACAGAAGGTATGTATTGTCAAAGGCTTTCATGGCTGGAATCACTGGGTTGTTGTAGGTTTTTCCGAGTTATATGGCCATGTTCTAGAGGCATTTTCTCCTGACGTTTCGCCTGCATCTATGGCAAGCATCCTCACTACCTCTGAGGATGCTTGCCATAGATGCAGGCAAAACATCAGGAGAAAATGCCTCTAGAACATAGCCATGTAACCCGGAAAAACCTACAACAACCCAACAGAAGGTATGTTCATTAGATGGGATGATTCTCTAACATTGTAATAGGGTTCCATTTGGAACCCATTCATGTAAAATTTCCTCCTGAGCATCACATCCAGATTTTAAAATTTGGCTTCCAAATGACCACTCAGATTAATTAGCAGCAGGTAATTGTGTTTTGAGGTCATACCACTTTCTGTAACAGATTAATTTAAGTAAAATGAAATCCTCCCCCTCGCAATAGCTATACAGGCCAACAGAAGAGAAAGTTTGCAGGCACCCAAATTCTTCATGAGGCTGGCACCCAGTCTTTTCAGGAAATCAATGTTATACCTACCTTTAATATATCAAGCATATTGCTTTCTACCATTTCTTGTTCTATGCCATATTTTAATTGTGTTTCAGATTAGTTACAAACCGGTATAGGTCAATGATTGCTTTATATGTGATTGAAGTCCTGGAAACCCTTGTGCCCTAAATTTAATTTAGTAAATCCAGATTTTTTTTCTGAGAAGCATTAGTATTCAAGTATTTATGTTCCTGCCAAAGCTATTAAGAGTGCAGAAAATTCAAAGAACTGCCCGTCCATGCAGTGAAGTGGTCATCTGATTGTGGGATCCATGACCAAACAGCAGTACAGCTCATGTATTGAAAAATGATCGGGTCAGGAGACAGAGCATGAAGACAACCTGAGCACTCTTTTAACTTGATATACACCACAGATTAACACATGACTTTGAACATATGACTCATGACCAGCCCTAACTGAAAGGGTGTATGACACAGGCAGGACTCATGTGGCCTTCCAGATGTTGTTGATATGCAACCCCTAGAATTTTTGACATCACCTAAGACTATTAGTGACAGTGTTGTGAAATACTGTCCAGCAAGATTTGGAGGGGTGCCTGATTCCCATCTCTGGTCCAGGGCGGGAATGAATAACTGTGGCATTTCAAATGTTTTTGACATACAGCTCCCATCAGCCACAGCCAGTGTAACTGATTGGCAGGAATTATGTGGTTTACAGTCAAAAATCAACTCAAGGACCGCAGTTCCTCTCTGTGGGAAGATAATACTAGTATAAAATTTAATGGATGTTAAATACTTAGGATCCTTTCACACTGCACAACTATAGCACAATTATTCCACTTTAATTAGCATGGTATCTATGGGACCCTTGGAGTTTTAATTCACTGAAGCACTTGAACTCTCTAGCTGAGAATTTTTAATGTCCCTCCCTAAACTACAAAATCCAACACTCCGTAGGATGGAACCATGGCCGTTATGGTGGAATAATAACACAATAATTTTCTAGGATGGAGAGCCATTAATTGTGTTTGGAAAGCATAAGTAGTAGGTTCCTAATGAGGTAAAGGGTACCTAATCTGATCTTCTCTCTTTTTGTGTGTTTTAGGTTTACTCCAATCTATAGGGGACCAAGTCACACCTACAAGGTACAACGGCTGATGGAATTTACCTGCTATGCTTTTAGAATACAAGCAGTAAATGATGCTGGTGAAGGACCTTTCTCAGAAGTGTTTACCTTCAGCACAACCAAATCCATTCCCTCTGCCATCAAAGGTAAACAAGATTCCCCTTCTCGTCTGGTTTGCATGACATACACTACGCCTTAAGCATAGGTTTTTGCTACTGTCTTACTCTTCTCATCCCAAGAGCCTCACATAGCTCAAAACCTTGGTAAAGGCCTGTGGCCACCTTCTTGTTATCAAAAAGAAGACTATTTGCAGCAGTGTTTCCTTTATCTATTAATTGTTGAAATCTTTATTTTAGCACCTCGAGTCAAAGCGTTGGAAGGAAATACCTGTGAAATTGCATGGGAAACTGTACTCCCCATGAAAGGAGATCCAGTCAGTTACATTCTGCAGATATTGGTTGGAAGAGAATCTGAGTATAAACAGGTAGGAAGAGAGTGCTCTTTTGAATAACTTCATATAAAAGCAACTTATTTTTTCAATGATATTTTCCTTTATAAAGGACAAATTCTGTATTTCATTCTAAATTCTGTAACTTACCTAAGAATCAAAAGTTTTTTTTTTAAAAAAAAGTTACATCGTGTTCGGAACAGTTACTACATTCTATGCAAGAGACCAGAAATTAATTATACTCAAAGAAATTCCATTTCACTGGCTTTTGTATATTATGTATGTTTGGTAGACTGTATTCACCATGGTGGGTTCTATGTCTTGCAGATACTTAGAAAACTCTTACCCAAACACACACAGTGCTTTGTAGAAAATATTGGCTGAGTGAAATAATCTTGGCATGACTGTATTCAAAATACTTTCTTGTGAGAGCTAATATAGTATGCTTCTCTTGTGGTACATACTTACCTCAAAATCCTATGAAGATGCTCATTTAATGCTTGGAAGTAATGAATTACTTTGGTGATCATAGCTGTCAGATACCATTCCTCTAGAGCAGGGGTCCTCAAACTAAGGCCTGAGGGCTGAATGCGGCCCTCCAAGGTCATTTAACTGGCCCTCACTCAGGGTCAACTTAAGTCTGAAACGACTTATAAGCACACAACAAAAATAATCCTATCTCATCAACCAAAAGTAGGCCCACACTTCCCATTGAAATACTAATAAGTTTATATTTGTTAAAATTGTTCTTCATTTTAATTATTGTGATGTTTTTAAGTGTTTTTTGCACTACAAATAAAATATGTGCAGTGTGCATAGGTATTCATTCATGGTTTTTTTCAAGTTATAATCCGGCCCTCCAACAGTTTGAGGGACTCTGGCCCTCTGTTTAAAAAGTTTGAGGACCCCTACTCTAGAGCAATGGTTCCCAACCTTTTTTTTTTACCAGGGACCACTTGACCAGGGACCACTTTGACCATGAACCACTCTCCAACGTTTGTACCAAAAGGGCTACAAATCAGTTTTTGGTCAACTTTAGATTCAATTTGATTATTTGGGGTGCTGATTTGGAAAATTGCATTGGATAGACCACATAGTTTTGTTCAGAGTGAGGTTTGCCATTGCCATATTCTGAGTCTGAGAGAGTATGACTTGCCTAAAGTCATCCAGTGGGTTCCATAGTACCTTATTTCTAAATGTTGTAGAACTGTGGTCTTCTTTTGCCTTTTTTTTTTTGAGCTGATGTAGTATAGTCTGTCAGAGACTCCAATATACAAAATAATGTTGTGCTTTAATTTGTGTAAATATAATATCCCTACATAATGTCTAGAGAGATCCTTTAGACCAGTGTTTTTCAACCTTCTTAATGCCGTGACCCCTTAATACAGTTCTTCATGTTGTGGTGACCCTAACCATAAAATTGTTTTGTTGCTACTTCACAACTGTAATTTTGCTACTGTTATGAATCATCATGTAAATATCTGATATGCAGGATGTATTTGATACAAATACGCAATATGCCCAAATTTGAATACTGGTGGGGGTTTTTTTGGGGGGGGGGATTGATTTTGTCATTCGGGAGTTGTAATTCCTGGGATTTATAGTTAACCTACAATCAAAGAGTATTCTGACCTCCACCATTGAGGGAACTGAACCAAACTTGACATACAGAACTCCCATGACCAAGAGAAAATACTGGAAGGGTTTGCTGGGCATTGACCTTGAGTTTGGAGTTGTAGTTTGCCTACATCCAGAGAGCACTATGGACTCAAACAATGATGGATCCAGACCAAATTTAGCATGGAGACTCAATATACCCAAATGTGAACACTGGTGGAGATTTCTTTGGTGGGGGGGGGGAGGGATAGACCTTGACATTTGGGAGCTGTAGTTGCTGGGATTATAGTTCACCTACAATCAAAGAGCATTCTGAACCCCATAATGATAGAATTGGGCCAAACTTCCCACATGGAACCCTCATGACCAAAAGAAAATACCGTGTCTTCTGATGGTCTTTAGTGACCTCTCTGACATTTTCTCGTGACCCCCCCAGGGGGCCCGACCCCCAGGTTGAGAAACGCTGCTTTAGACAGCAAACAGCCAAATGGATAAGAGTGATAATGATGTTGTTGCTTCATCATTATTGTTCTAGCCTTCAATTCAATGTCTTGTCTCCACTTGCAGCTGTTGTGAGAATATATTTACATCCAATATTATCTCTGTAACTGATGCAGCCATGTTGTGGCTTACAGGCAGAGGAAACAGAAATTAGGCAATGTTTGGTTGTCTCTCCGTGACTGCTGCTTGCCTCTTTGCACATCTTCTGTTGAGCTTAGTCTGTTTCAGATGGGAGAGGAGTTCGAAGGCTTGAACATTAGAGAAGTGAATGGCTCTGAGTAGATTTCTTTAAAGTACAAGCCTGAAAGAAAAGAGGACAAGGTTTAGAGACTGAGGATCTGAGATTTTAAAATGGATTAATAGGATACAGCTATCTGTGAGTGCTTCTTAATTCCGGTCACCAATAGTGCCCTAAAAACTGAAGATAACATTTTAAAATTTCCTGGTCCAACATTTTAAAATCTCAAAAAAAACCTACTTTCTGTGACTTCACAAGTCTTCTCTTAATTGTGGTTAATGATGCTAACATCTAGATAATGACTGCTACTACTTCCAGTAACAGAGGGTGTTCTGCCAGTAACTGGAAGTTGTCCTACTTGATGTTACCTGTTTTTTAATGTGCTCTCTGACTCTTAGATAGAATTTCCACTTCATTATTCATGTCTGCAGTTCTATGTTCAAGTACAGGCCAGATGTGCCACCAGCTCCCTTCCCTGTTTAGTTCTACTTGTGTGTTTTTCCAAATCTAGGATCGTGTGAGAATACAACCTCTCCCTACCAGTTTATTTAACAACTGAAAATTGTAAACAAGGAAAATACCGACCCAGACTTTCTCAGCTCAGGTTTCTCAGAACCCTAGGATCCATGAGAGATTCCTAGGAGTTCCGCAAGAGATTCTGATAGAAAAAAATTAAAATTTAGATATAATAGTTTTCTGAACATTATTTCAAGGTTTCCACCAGGATAACAACAACAACATTATTTTTATACCCCACCTCCATCTCCCCGAAGGGACTCAGGGCTGCTTACAAAGGGACAAGCCCAGAGAGCACAAAGTTAAAACGTAATGCAATAAAATAAAAACAAAAACAAACCAAATAGAAACATCACAATAAAGCATAACATTATGAAAACAAACAATACAATACAATACAATACAATTTTAATGCAATACAACTGTTTTGGTTCACTCCTGACACAGTAAATAAATAAATTATGAAAACAGTACTATGGGAGCAATAAAGGTGCTGAGTTCAGAGGGCTCTGAGTTTGTGCAAAACAAAGGGACAAGCCCAGAGAGCACAAAGTTAAAACGTAATGCAATAAAATAAAAACAAAAACAAACCAAATAGAACATCACAATAAAGCATAACATCATGAAAACAAACAAACAAAAATTTAATGCAATACAACTGTTTTGGTTTGCTCCTGACACAATAAATAAATAAATCATGAAAACAGTACCATGGGGGCAATAAAGGCGCTGAGTTCAGAGGGCTCTGAGTTTGTGCAAAACTCCTAGATAGAGCTAAGGGAAAGTGCAAAATTCAGTGGCAGGGATGGGAGAGTAATGTCCTTGGGATTTATAATGTCAGGATTGTAGAATGGAGGGCCATGCTAAAGTGCTGGAACTTGGGTATTAAAGGGGCCAATCCTTTGGAACTGCCTAACCAAAGGCACAATGGAACATCCATGTTTTTCAGTTCTTGGGGAAGGAGGACAGGGTAGGTGACAGTCTGATCTCCCTAGGAAGAAAGTTCCAGAGCCAGGGGGCTACCACCGAGAAGGCCCTCCTGAGGCATAAGTGAGAGGAGGGCCTCCCCGGATGATCTTAGGGCTCAGGTTGGTTCATAGGGGAAGGGGCAGTTTCAAAGATAGACAGGTCCTGAACTGTTTAGGGCTTTGTAGGTAATCACCTGCACCTTGAATTAGGACCAGAAACTCATTGGCACCCAGTGGAGCTGTTTAAACAGGCGGGTTGACCGCTCCCTGTAACTTGGTTAAAAAAAGTTGAGACATTACAGGACCTAAATATTCCTGTTAGTTTGTAGACATACAAGCTTGAGTAGATTTAATAATAGTATCTATCTAATATGTTCCTGGAGTCCCCTGTGATGCAGTGGGTTAAACCGTCGAGCTACTGAACTTGCTGACTGAAAAGTCACAGGTTCGAATCCAGGGAACAGCGTGAGCTCCTGCTGTTAGCCCTAGATTCTGCCTACCTAGCAGTACAAAAACATGTGAATTTGAGTAGATCAATAGTTACCACTCCATGCAGTCATGCCAGTCACATGACCTTGGAGGTGTCTACGGACAATGGCTCTTCAGCTTAGAAATAGAGATGAGCATAGCACCAATCCCCAGAGTTGGACATGACTGGACTTAATGTCAGGGGAAACCTTTACCTTTAATATATGCCTGCTTGCACTATTCCCTTGACCTATGTCTATACAGCCAATCCCTGAGTTACAAATATCTGAGTTATAAATGACTCATAGTTGCAACTGGAGGGAGACAACAGCAAGTGAGAGAAATCTACCGCTAGGAAGAAAAATTCCTTCCTGTAAGAGTTAACATGGGGAAAGGGGGTCTCCACTGAAGCCTTATTACCAATCCTTATTTACACAACAAGCCATTTTTTTTCAAAATCCACTTATCAGAGAGACAGAAAGTGAGGTGAAATCTTCCAAACAGAGGCACAGACATCTAAACAAACACAGAGGGGTGTTAACTATTCCCTGTCCTATCCAACGCTATCTTTCTATCACTCTATCTATCTATATGGAGTTAACTAAAAAAAGTACCTGTTCGAACTTACAAACAAGTTCAACTTAAGAACAATCTACAGAACCTATCTCATTCATAATTTGGAGACTGCTTGAATGTGCCTGTTGCATGTCACCCAAACTTAACTTTTG